TCATTTGGAATTATAGGATGTCCAAGGAAGATCCCGCCTTTCTCGTCTCTGATTGGCTAGAAAGGCTCTACTACGATTGGCTATTTCATTTAACAGCAAACTGGCAGTCCTCTAGCCTAGTGAACTAGAAGCTTGGTTTATGCTTGACACATTCACTTTCCGCGCGGTGATGCGGCTCGCGGATGGAACGCGCTTCACAACTCGCAGCGTTTATGGTTCATGCGGCTCGTCTCTGCGGTGAGCTAATATTCTCCCAAACTGTAGGGGGCAGCATGGAGCTCTATGGCATGCATCCAACACTATATCATAGTAGAAGTAGAAATTACTGTTTACAACATGGCATTCCAGCATTTTTAACAGCATCCTCGTCTTTTCCGACAGTGCGAGCTATTTCTCTCCAAGAATTATTAACAACATGTTGATCACGGTGATCTCTGAGAGCTGAATCATACAAATGTCTGTCTTTACGAACCTCTGCCATACTAGTTCTTGCCGGTCCGCCATGTTTTTCCGCGTCCGACCGTCCGCGTGGTTAGAAAATTTCCTACGTGCGCGTTGTGGACATTTTTGGCCGTGCGGAGGCGCGGTGGAGGGGCGTGGTTGTTAAAATGACGCAATTTCTCCGTGCGGACCTCGCGGACGCGTCAAGCATACACCAACCTTTACTCTCCCACCAGGGTGTTCACAGCATCTGTCTGCATTCCTTCGTGGGGGTTTGTTGCTAGCCTCTCAAGGCTACCAGGGCGTCAGATTCGGATAACAAGACTTTGTTTGGGTCAGGCTGAGATAATTTTCCTCTCTGCCTTCAGTCTTTAAACTGATCATTCCAGTCCTCCAGTGAAGCCAATTTGGGTTTTAAACCTGTCCATACCGTCTGGTGACCCTCTCCGAGATGACATCCATTTTGCGCACTAATACCGGTATCGCAGCTAGAACATTGTCCAGCTTATGATTCACCTCGAGTAACGTCCCAGTCTGTGAGGTCTCCACACGGACGGTGCTTTCCGTGGGTGCGGGTCGCCCTCCAATCGCTCCCGTCTTCCCAAATTTCCAGAAAACCAGATATCCTCCCACTCCAATCAGGAGAAATCCAGTGATCATCAGGCCGAATATCCACACGTCTTTGACATCCTCGATGGACAGCTGGGAGAGGCATACGATCTTCCATTCCTTCCAGGAATCCAGCATATATCCCGCCGGGTGTGTCCCCTGTGGACATGTGGGAGCCCCCTGCTCCGTTCTCATTGTTGAAAAAATCTTATCGATCGCATTGAATGACCAATTTATCAAATCCATGGTTAAAAATAGGGTTTTTCAGAAGAAATGCAGAGAAGTGCTCTGTGGGCAGACAGGACAAGAGCCTTGGGAAAAAAGATAAGGGAGCAAGAAGAGAAGCGCCTGTACTCTGCGAGTGCCAGGAAGAAGAAATGGCAAAGTTTAAGATCTGTCAGCTAACTGTGATTTTAAAAAGTTTAATTGCTTGAATTCAAGATTTCTTGGTTAATCAATCATTGCATGGTTCTGTCTTGACACCTTTTGTTTAACTTGTTTGTCTTATGTTCATGTTAAAGGAAAAGGCTGTAAACTATTTACAATGATTTATAAAGCTGCCTACATTTTGTCACTTGTTTAAGATTTCCCAAAGATGGAGAAAGAAGGAGGCAGTGGGAAGTTGCCCTAAGAAGTGTCTGCGATCTTCCCCAGAGCTGACGCTCAGTGGCGTCACGATCAAAACTGTCAGCAAGGTAAAAAACCTTCCCCGTGTTTCAAAAAGAACCTAAAAAAGCGGTCAGAAGAAAAACACCAAAGATGTTTGTAGTCTTTTGAAAAACTGCTTGTCACGTTGCGAGTAGCGGGGAGGCTAGGACCCAAGATGCAGAACCAGGGAGACACGAGGCAGGAGTTGGAATAAGCATAGAAAATCCTTTATTAGGAGTGATTATCCAAAAAGTTAATCCAATAGGGCAGGAAGCCAAAACCAAAATCCAAAAATCCTAGTATGAAATCCAAGAGACCAAGAGGGAGGGGGGGGGGGGGGGGGGTGAGACAACGCTGACACAAACAATGGACCGATAAAACACTGAGACACAGACAGGTTATATACACAGGGACTGGGTGATTGGGAGACAAGAGACCTGAGGGGAGAGAGACCTGAGGGGAGAGAGAACTGAGGGGAGAGAGAACTGAGGGGTGAGAGACCTGAGGGGAGAGAGACCTGAGGGAGAGAGACCTGAGGGGAGAGAGACCTGAGGGGAGAGAGACCTGAGGGGAGAGAGAACTGAGGGGAGAGAGAACTGAGGGGAGAGAGAACTGAGGGGAGAGAGAACTGAGGGGAGAGAGAACTGAGGGGTGAGAGACCTGAGGGGAGAGAGAACTGAGGGGAGAGAGACCTGAGGGGAGAGAGAACTGAGGGGAGAGAGAACTGAGGGGAGAGAGACCTGAGGGGAGAGAGAACTGAGGGGAGAGAGAACTGAGGGGTGAGAGACCTGAGGGGAGAGAGAACTGAGGGGAGAGAGAACTGAGGGGAGACTGGTGAAATCAATTACCTAAATGGGAAGGAAAACCAAGCAGAGGGGATAAACCCTAACCTATGAATCTCTAAATAAATAAACCAAAAAGACTAAGGGCACCGGTGAGCCAAAGATAAATAACTAATGACCTGAGGAGTGAGGGAGACTAATTAACAAGTGGGGAAGGAAACACGCACTAAGGGAGACTAATAAAATAAATAGCTGAACCTATCAAAAACTACAGAGGGGTGATTAGGGCCGACCTGGAGTGGGCTGGGGACCACAAGGAGGCACCTGAGGGGGGAACGCAGACAAGGAGACACATGAGGAACCCAAGGAGACATATAAATGGGAACCTAGAGAGGGATGGAGAACACAAGGAGACACATGAGGGAGACGCAGAACGTAGACCATAACACTGCTGGCTAATCAAATCCCCCTGATAAATAAATACAGTGAATAAATGCCACACTTACTCATCATGATTACTTGTTTGCCTTTAGGTGGTCAAACTATAGTTCTTGTCTGATTTCTCACCTGACACCATGTTGTTCTATAGGCCTATGTAAAGTATAAAGGCAACCTCACTGTCCAGTTACATTGGTAACTGTAATCTCAGGGTTTGTTGTGCGGCGAGCCATGACCAAGCTGTCCTGTGATGTCTGCCGTGCCAGCCTGGTGATGGATGCTGCATCTGCCTGTGATGACCACAGCTACCATTTGCTGACTTTCAAGAACAACGGGGTCTTGTGGTCCCATCTGAAGGTACTGTGAGGGTCATCAGAGCAGCAGAGTGGGCAATTTGCCAGGCATTAGTGGGCAGACGACCACAGTCCATCAAACCACTGGAGGTCGTCTACAATGTGCGCAAGAGGATCGGGTCAGAGGATGTCTTTTTGCTCGGAGAGCACATCAGTGAGACACTGTACAGAATTGAGTCTCACTCCCATCCACTGTTGACATCTATTGTCTCCCTGTTCTTTAAGCTGAGGATGCACCACACTGCCAGATTAGCAACTCTCAGCTTTCAGCGTGACAGCGTGAGACAGAAGCTCACAAAAGCTGTCCTTTTCAACGGTCAGTAGGAAATCACAATGTGCTTTGTCTTAGATCTGTTATTTTTATAATCACAAACATGTATAATCTGTAATAAACACGTTTTTCATAACTGTCAGTCTGTCATTCATTTACTCTTTAGTTTTTGAAGTGTTTATTTAGCCCTTTAACTCACAGTGATCCCAGTTTTCTCTTCTCAAACTTTCATTTTAAATGGGTTTCAGGCTGAAAGTGGAAATAAATATAAATTATAATAATAACTTGCCAAAGCAAGTACATATTAGGTTCATATTACTTGCAAATGTTAAAGTCAAAGTAAATAAAATATATTCTCTTCATTTGTCTTTTTATAAAATATTTTCTCAGTCATTGAGGTTCTAGAGTTGTTTTTTTTTTTGGACTGGGTGTTGTAACTTTAAATTTTGTTTCAAGCTTCTGTGTGTTTTTATTTTTTGTTTGTTTTACTATTTTCTGTAAATGAAATCCGGTATTAGAGTTTTTATTTATAAGTTGATTTGGTAAGCTATAAGGTATCTTAAAACTTATTTTTATAAGTTGACCTCAATTTACAAACTACAGCTAGTTCATCAGAAGCAGATCTTGTTGACATTAAAACGGTAAGTATGGGAATTGACAGGATGGGGAAAACGGCTGGAAAGTGGAGTGAAATAAGGGGAGTTTCCTGCTAAAACTGAAATATTTCATAGCCACGTCTCTAATGTTTCTAAAAAATCAAACCGTATAAAAATCTGTTGAAAATTGAGAAAGTTAGAGTTGTTTAAATAGTGCATGCACCACTAAACACCAGTGTTAGAGGAGGGCAGCTGACCGAAGTAAGATGGCCGCCGCGTACGGACGTCAGGGTGACGAACCAGTCGGTCGGTGACGCAGAACGGAAGTCAAAGTTGTTTTTTTCCCTTTATTGAAAGATTCGTACAATCCATATTATTTACAGTTTGATTGATTGATTGAATCTTTATTTTGAACATATTAAAAAAACATATTTTGTACAATTCAGAGAACAATTCTTGGATACCGTGTACTTCTTGTAAACATCAAGGTAGAACATAGTCAACAACAACAAGATAAGAATAGCAAAAAATACATATACAAAATCTAAATAAATAAATACATAAAAACGCTAGGAGGAGAAACGAAAAAGCCAATGGGGCAATTTGGTTGAAGGATTTTCATTTTTTCACAGATAATTGTAGTTTTTTAGCTTTGGGGTTAATATATTTCGAGATTGAAACAACATAATGTGTAAGTTCACAGGCGTATGCATAAAACAAGGGACAAGTTGAACGGAAGTCAAAGTTCGTTTTCTGTTGAAGTAACCCAAACCGAGCTTTATTTTGAAGGAGCGAACTGAACTGATTGCTTATGTCCATGCACTTTATCTTGAAAATCCAGCCACCGGAAGCAGTTCCATAGCTCCGGTCTTAACCACAACGCTCAGGCATTTATCAGCTGTCCTCCGGGAACAACACTGACCTATTTCACTAAAAAGAGGAGACGCCGACCAGGCCTGGGCCCGTGACCTCTCCGGGGTGAGTCTTCCGAGCGCGTGGGTGACCCAGAGATGTCGTCAGCTGTTCTGACGGAGCGTCACCGCGGATAATCCTGGATTAAACAGGTGAAACACATCAACCTCCGGAGGTGCGCGTGTCCCAGACCATTCTGTCCCGGACCGGTCGAGTCCGGCTCGAATTAGTTCGGATAGCTACGTCGGCTTCCAGTTATCTCCTCTGATAGCTCTGCTAGTGTATCCTGACTGATCTTCACACGCACGTCAGGTGCGTGTGCACTAACCACCATTTTGTCTGAAAACATAAATCCACCATGGATTGGGTTGTAATCCTCCTCGTTACCGATCCTGTCTGGACTCAGCTCTTTATTTTGGTTTTTATACTCAGCTGTTCCTTCTAGAGATGAGCCGAGACACCCAGCTGTTCCTTCTAGAGATGAGCCGAGACACCCAGCTGTTCCTTCTAGAGATGAGCGGAGACACCCAGCTGTTCCTTCTAGAGATGAGCCGAGACACCCAGCTGTTCCTTCTAGAGATGAGCGGAGACACCCAGCTGTTCCTTCTAGAGATGAGCCGAGACACCCAGCTGTTCCTTCTAGAGATGAGCCGAGACACCCAGCTGTTCCTTCTAGAGATGAGGCGATATACCCAGCTGTTCCTTCTAGAGATGAGCCGAGACACCCAGCTGTTCCTTCTAGAGATGAGCCGAGACACCCAGCTGTTCCTTCTAGAGATGAGCCGAGACACCCAGCTGTTCCTTCTAGAGATGAGCCGAGACACCCAGCTGATCCTTCTAGAGATGAGGCGATATACTCAGCTGTTCCTTCTAGAGATGAGCCGAGACACCCAGCTGTTCCTTCTAGAGATGAGGCGATATACTCGGCTGTTCCTTCTAGAGATGAGCCGAGACACCCAGCTGTTCCTTCTAGAGATGAGCCGATATACTCGGCTGTTCCTTCTAGAGATGAGGCGACATACAGGTGCTGGCCAGTAAATTAGAATATCATCAAAAGGTTGAAAATATTTCAGTAATTCCATTCAAAACGTGAAACTTGTACATTATATTCATGCAATGCACACAGACCAATGTATTTCCAATGTTCATTACATTTAAATTTGATATTCATAAGTGACAACTAATGAAAACTCCAAATTTGGTATCTCAAAAAATTAGAATATTCTGAAAAGGCTGAATATAGAAGACACCTGCTGCCACTCTAATCAGCTGATTTACTCAAAACACCTGCAAAGGCCTTTAAAAGGTCCCTCAGTCTTGTTTTGAAGGCACCACAATCATGGGGAAGACTTCTGACTTAACAGCTGTCCAAAAGACAATCATTGACACCTTGCACAAGGAGGGCAAGACACAAAAGGTGATTGCTAAAGAAGCTGGCTGTTCGCAGAGCTCTGTGTCCAAGCACATTAACAGACAGGCGAAGGGACGGAAAAAATGTGGTAGAAAAAAGTGTACAAGCTCTAGGGATAACCGCACCCTGCAGAGAATTGTGACGACAAACCCATTAAAAAATGTGGGGGAGATCCACAAAGAGTGGACTGCAGCTGGAGTCAGTGCTTCAAGAACCACCACGAGGAGACTCATGAAAGACATGGGATTCAGGTGTCGCATTCCGTGTGTCAAGCCACTCTTGAACAAGAAACAGCGCAAGAAGCGTCTCGCCTGGGCCAAGGACAAAAAGGACTGGACTGATGCTGAGTGGTCCAAAGTTATGTTTTCTGATGAAAGCAAGTTCTGCATTTCCTTTGGAAATCAAGGACCCAGAGTCTGGAGGAAGAGCGGAGAAGCACAGAATCCACGTTGCATGAGGTCCAGTGTAAAGTTTCCACCGTCAGTGATGGTGTGGGGTGCCATGTCATCTGCCGGTGTTGGCCCACTCTGTTTCCTGAGGTCCAGGGTCAATGCAGCCGTCTACCAGGAAGTTTTAGAGCACTTCATGCTTCCTGCTGCTGACCAACTTTATGGGGATGCAGACTTCACCTTTCAACAGGACTTGGCACCTGCACACAGTGCCAAAACCACCAGCACCTGGTTCAAGGACTATGGTATCCCTGTCCTTGATTGGCCAGCAAACTCGCCTGACCTTAACCCCATAGAAAATCTATGGGGTATTGTGAAGCGGAGGATGCAATACGCTAGACCCAACAATGCAGAGGAGCTGAAGACGACTAACAGAGCAACCTGGGCTCTCATAACACCTGAGCAGTGCCACAGACTGATCGAGTCCATGCCACGCCGCATTACTGCAGTTATTGAGGCAAAAGGAGCCCCGACTAAGTATTGAGTGCTATACATGCACATTCTTTTCATGTTCATTCTTTTCAGTTGGCCAACATTAGAGAAACAAACATTTTTTCATTGGCCTTTAGAATATTCCAATTTTCTGAGATACCAGATTTGATGTTTTCATTGGTTGTCACCTATAAATATCAAAATTAAACGTAATAAACATCGGAAATACATTGGTCTGTGTGCATTGCATGAATATAATGTACAAGTTTCACGTTTTGAATGGAATTACTGAAATATTTTCAACCTTTTGATGATATTCTAATTTACTGGCCAGCACCTGTACTCAGCTGTTCCTTCTAGAGATGAGGCGATATACCCAGCTGTTCCTTCTAGAGATGAGCCGAGACACCCAGCTGTTCCTTCTAGAGATGAGCCGAGACACCCAGCTGTTCCTTCTAGAGATGCGGCGATATACTCAGCTGTTCCTTCTAGAGATGAGCCGAGACACCCAGCTGATCCTTCTAGAGATGAGGCGATATACTCAGCTGTTCCTTCTAGAGATGAGGCGATATACCCGGCTGTTCCTTCTAGAGATGAGGCAATATACTCAGCTGTTCCTTCTAGAGATGAGGCGATATACTCAGCTGTTCCTTCTAGAGATGAGGCGATATACTCGGCTGTTCCTTCTAGAGATGAGCCGATATACTCGGCTGTTCCTTCTAGAGATGAGGCGATATACTCAGCTGTTCCTTCTAGAGATGAGGCGATATACTCGGCTGTTCCTTCTAGAGATGAGGCGATATACTCGGCTGTTCCTTCTAGAGATGAGGCGATATACCCGGCTGTTCCTTCTAGAGATGAGGCAATATACTCAGCTGTTCCTTCTAGAGATGAGGCGATATACTCAGCTGTTCCTTCTAGAGATGAGCCGAGACACCCAGCTGTTCCTTCTAGAGATGAGGTGATTTACCCAGCTGTTCCTTCTAGAGATGAGGCGATATACCCGGCTGTTCCTTCTAGAGATGAGGCGATATACCCAGCTGTTCCTTCTAGAGATGAGGCAATATACTCTGCTGTTCCTTCTCGAGATGAGGCGACATACCCAGCTGTTCCTTCTAGAGATGAGGTGATTTACCCAGCTGTTCCTTCTAGAGATGAGGCGATATACCCAGCTGTTCCTTCTAGAGATGAGGCAATATACTCTGCTGTTCCTTCTCGAGATGAGGCGACATACCCAGCTGTTCCTTCTAGAGATGAGGTGATTTACCCAGCTGTTCCTTCTAGAGATGAGGCGATATACTCGGCTGTTCCTTCTAGAGATGAGGCGATATACCCAGCTGTTCCTTCTAGAGATGAGGCAATTTACCCAGCTGTTCCTTCTAGAGATGAGGTGATTTACCCAGCTGTTCCTTCTAGAGATGAGGCGATATACCCAGCTGTTCCTTCTAGAGATGAGGCGATATACCCAGCTGTTCCTTCTAGAGATGAGGTGATTTACCCAGCTGTTCCTTCTAGAGATGAGGCGATATACCCGGCTGTTCCTTCTAGAGATGAGGCGATATACCCAGCTGTTCCTTCTAGAGATGAGGCAATATACTCTGCTGTTCCTTCTCGAGATGAGGCGACATACCCAGCTGTTCCTTCTAGAGATGAGGTGATTTACCCAGCTGTTCCTTCTAGAGATGAGGCGATATACCCAGCTGTTCCTTCTAGAGATGAGGCAATATACTCTGCTGTTCCTTCTCGAGATGAGGCGACATACCCAGCTGTTCCTTCTAGAGATGAGGTGATTTACCCAGCTGTTCCTTCTAGAGATGAGGCGATATACTCGGCTGTTCCTTCTAGAGATGAGGCGATATACCCAGCTGTTCCTTCTAGAGATGAGGCAATTTACCCAGCTGTTCCTTCTAGAGATGAGGCGATATACCCAGCTGTTCCTTCTAGAGATGAGGTGATTTACCCAGCTGTTCCTTCTAGAGATGAGGCGATATACCCAGCTGTTCCTTCTAGAGATGAGGCGATATACCCAGCTGTTCCTTCTAGAGATGAGGTGATTTACCCAGCTGTTCCTTCTAGAGATGAGGCGATATACTCGGCTGTTCCTTCTAGAGATGAGGCGATATACCCAGCTGTTCCTTCTAGAGATGAGGCAATATACTCTGCTGTTCCTTCTCGAGATGAGGCGACATACCCAGCTGTTCCTTCTAGAGATGAGGTGATTTACCCAGCTGTTCCTTCTAGAGATGAGGCGATATACTCGGCTGTTCCTTCTAGAGATGAGGCGATATACTCAGCTGTTCCTTCTAGAGATGAGCCGAGACACCCAGCTGATCCTTCTAGAGATGAGGCGATATACTCAGCTGTTCCTTCTAGAGATGAGGCGATATACCCGGCTGTTCCTTCTAGAGATGAGGCAATATACTCAGCTGTTCCTTCTAGAGATGAGGCGATATACTCAGCTGTTCCTTCTAGAGATGAGGCGATATACTTGGCTGTTCCTTCTAGAGATGAGGCGATATACCCGGCTGTTCCTTCTAGAGATGAGGCGATATACCCAGCTGTTCCTTCTAGAGATGAGGCAATATACTCTGCTGTTCCTTCTCGAGATGAGGCGACATACCCAGCTGTTCCTTCTAGAGATGAGGTGATTTACCCAGCTGTTCCTTCTAGAGATGAGGCGATATACTCGGCTGTTCCTTCTAGAGATGAGGCGATATACCCAGCTGTTCCTTCTAGAGATGAGGCAATTTACCCAGCTGTTCCTTCTAGAGATGAGGCGATATACTCGGCTGTTCCTTCTAGAGATGAGGCGATATACTCGGCTGTTCCTTCTAGAGATGAGCCGATATACTCGGCTGTTCCTTCTAGAGATGAGCCGATATACTCGGCTGTTCCTTCTAGAGATGAGGCGATATACTCGGCTGTTCCTTCTAGAGATGAGGCGATTTACCCAGCTGTTCCTTCTAGAGATGAGGCGATATACTCAGCTGTTCCTTCTAGAGATGAGGCGATATACTCAGCTGTTCCTTTTAGAGATGAGGCGATTCACCCAGCTGTTCCTCCTAGAGATGAGGCGATACACTCAGCTGTTCCTTCTAGAGATGAGGCAATTTACCCAGCTGTTCCTTCTAGAGATGAGGCGATATACTCGGCTGTTCCTTCTAGAGATGAGCCAATATACTCGGCTGTTCCTTCTAGAGATGAGGCGATATACTCAGCTGTTCCTTCTAGAGATGAGGCGATTTACCCAGCTGTTCCTTCTAGAGATGAGGCGATATACTCGGCTGTTCCTTCTAGAGATGAGCCGAGACACTCGGCTGTTCCTTCTAGAGATGAGGTGTTTTTGAGTTCAAGCGAAATACTTTTTGTGTGATCTGGCCTTTACCGTGGCCGTTAGTCGGCTTGTATTTTCTTTTATTAGTGCAGTTTGTTGCTGTTTTTATTCTTGATTAATCCTGATCCCGCTGTTACTGGTACATGTCTGTACAGCGCTCTGGTGTCTCCCGGTGCCTGAAAGGCGCTTTAGAGATAAAGGTTGAGTTACATTAAAACGTTCAAACCAATGGGAATGCTACTTCTGGTATCTCACTGGATGTTGCTCGCATCATCGATTCTCCGTGAGCCTAGCCAGGAATATGGTGGTAGGCTAACAGGAGGACGTCGCCCCCTACTGTAGTGGAGTGTACTACACTTCATTCGTTTATTAGATCTTCTGACATACGTAACTGCCTTGGATGTAAACACACGGAGTGTTTCTCTAATCCTAAACTTCTCTGCTGGAATCTCGTCCTTCCCATTCCAGAGCTGTTCACGTCTCCTCCTGCTGAGCTGGGCTCAGTGTGATCCAGGTTCTCCTGGGTTCTAGTGACAGGGCTCTGCGAGTAACGGTGCTGCTCCAGCAGAACCATTGGTGGGTCCATTTACCATCTCCGGGCTCTGCTGAGTTCTGGATGATGTTCTGGTGTTCATCCTGATGAGACCAACTGGGATCAGCTGATTGCGCTGCAGTGCATTGTGGGAAAAGTATGATGTTTGTTCAGCCTGACCTGAACTCCCATGACCTTTGACCTTTTAACTGAGGTCTGTAGAATCTCGGTGTGTATTTGAGCCGGCCAATCATTAGGCAGTGGGTGTGTTGGACCAGTTCAGCCCGCACTGAACCGGGTCAGGTTCTGACTTAATGACTCGTTTGTCCTCTGCAGCATCTCGTCGGAGCGTCCAGAGACGGCCATGTTGGATTGTGTCAGCAGAGTCCTGGTGTTGACTCGTCTTCACCCCTCGCCACACAGAACCTCGCTGCCAACTTAACTCCGCCCATTCATCTTACCTTTCCTCACCTGGACAGGTGTGTTTGTGTTATTTGAATCTGTTTTCCTCTGAATGGAAGCACCTTACATTCCCCGGTCCTCCCAGCAGATCCCGAGTCCTGGTAGAAAATGTCCATTGCACAAGATAAGCTGCTTACCTGGAGGCTACCTCACCTGCTCTTCCTACCACTGATTTACCTCTGGCTCTTGGCTCCGCCCACAGGTAAGCCAGCCAGTGCAGAACTGCTAACAGTAAATGGGCTGTATTTACATAGGGCCTTCTAGAGTTCTACGACCCCCCAAGGCACTTTACAATACAACTTGCTTTTCACCCACACACCTGGGCTGGGCTGAACCGGTCCAGCTGGACCAGTTTCCATTAGCATCACTATGTGAAACGGTTCTGGTACCAGAGGAACCGGACTTCAGGTCCTTCGAGAACACCAGTAGAAGATCCACAATGAACAACCGCTTCTACATCGGCCCTCTCTCCCTCGGTTCAGGTGTGTCCGCTGGTCTGTGCCGGGTCACCGGCGGGGTTCTGGGGATCCACTGGAGCAGCACCGTGGGTCTGGGCTGGTACCCGCTGGCATCTGGCCGAGGTGGTGCCACGTGCTGGGAGTCATGCTGCCTGGAGGCGAGCTGCGGAGCTGTGTGGAGCCTCGGGGGACACTGTGTGCTCCTCACTTGTTCCAGGAAGGAGGGCTGCTCCATCTCCTCCCTCCCGCAACCTCACGAGGAGTCACTGGGCCTCCTGCAGCTGCTGTCCAAGGTTGGCCTCCTCCAGGAAACGCAGCTCCCGGTTGTTGCTTCGGTTGTTAATCAGAAGTGTTTTGGAATTGTATTTCAACCCAAAGGGTCCCGTCAGGATGAAGCGCAGAAGACCTCGCTGGGCGTCGCACACAGGAAGCCTCAGCTCCACGGTAACGGCACATCTTCAGTTTGTGGTGATTTCTACTTCATTTGAAACATAACAGTTTGTGAAAGTAGTGAGGCAACTCGTCTGAGGTTCTTGTGCTTTTATTTTGAAAGACGGATGTGCTTATTGTCCTGCTGATGTTTGAGTTCTCAAACTGTGTACAGGAACTGCTTCCCACTACTCCCAGTACCATCAGTCTGCTCCAGGCAACCCAGGAGGACGTCGACCCGTCAGCAAACACCAGTTTAGATGAAGCTCCTGATCTGTCACACCAGAACTCCACAATTGATGGAACCATCAATCAATTTTCCAACATCAGTGATGTCATCACTCCCACAACCATCATCACGTCTCCGACCCAGACTTGTAAGTGATGTGGGCAGGTCACATGACTCTGTCCTTCTGTTGAACCTGCAGTTGACCTTTGCCTTCTGCAGAAGCTCAGCTGTTGTTTTCCCAGCCACGGCTGTGTGATCAGCAGGAATGTGACGAGACGCGCTGAGCCGGAAAAACTGGTGTTATCAGTTCTCCTGAGTGTGTGTCAACACCTGAAACCGGAACCAAGCAACTCCGTCCTTAAAGGGCACTTTACTTCTGAGCTCATTAGAGTTTAGGCTGGACCAGTTTTTAGACCAGACCGGCGGTTAGACCGAACCAGCGGTTAGACCAGACCGGCGGTTAGACCGAACCAGTGGTTAGACCAGGCCGGCGGTTAGACCGAACCAGCGGTTAGACCACACCAGCAATTAGACCGAACCAGCGGTTAGACCAGACCGGTGGTTAGACCGAACCAGCGGTTAGACCAGACCAGCAATTAGACCGAACCAGCGGTTAGACCAGACCGGCGGTTAGACCGAACCAGCGGTTAGACCAGACCGGCGGTTAGACCGAACCAGCGGTTAGACCAGACCGGCGGTTAGACCGAACCAGCGGTTAGACCACACCAGCAATTAGACCGAACCAGCGGTTAGACCAGACCGGTGGTTAGACCGAACCAGCGGTTAGACCAGACCAGCAATTAGACCGAACCAGCGGTTAGACCAGACCGGCGGTTAGACCGAACCAGCGGTTAGACCAGACCAGCGGTTAGACCGAACCAGCGGTTAGACCAGACCGGCGGTTAGACCGAACCAGTGGTTAGACCAGACCGGCGGTTAGACCGAACCAGCGGTTAGACCAGACCGGCGGTTAGACCGAACCAGCGGTTAGACCAGACCGGCGGTTAGACCGAACCAGCGGTTAGACTGAACCAGCGGTTAGACCAGACCGGCGGTTAGACTGAACCAGCGGTTAGACTGAACCAGCGGTTAGACCAGACCGGCGGTTAGACCGAACCAGTGGTTAGACCAGACCGGCGGTTAGACCGAACCAGCGGTTAGACCAGACCGGCGGTTAGACCGAACCAGCGGTTAGACCAGACCGGCGGTTAGACCGAACCAGTGGTTAGACCAGACCGGCGGTTAGACCGAACCAGTGGTTAGACCAGACCGGCGGTTAGACCGAACCAGCGGTTAGACCAGACCGGCGGTTAGACCGAACCAGCGGTTAGACCAGACCGGCGGTTAGGCTGAACCAGCAGTTAGACCAGACCGGCGGTTAGACCGAACCAGCGGTTAGACCAGACCGGCGGTTAGACCGAACCAGCGGTTAGACCAGACCGGCGGTTAGACTGAACCAGCTGTTAGACCAGACCGGCGGTTAGACCGAACCAGCGGTTAGACCAGACCGGCGGTTAGACTGAACCAGCGGTTAGACCAGACCGGCGGTTAGACTGAACCAGCGGTTAGACTGAACCAGCGGTTAGACCAGACCGGCGGTTAGACCGAACCAGTGGTTAGACCAGACCGGCGGTTAGACCGAACCAGCGGTTAGACCAGACCGGCGGTTAGACCGAACCAGCGGTTAGACCAGACCGGCGGTTAGACCGAACCAGTGGTTAGACCAGATCGGCGGTTAGACCGAACCAGTGGTTAGACCAGACCGGCGGTTAGACCGAACCAGCGGTTAGACCAGACCGGCGGTTAGACCGAACCAGCGGTTAGACCAGACCGGCGGTTAGACCGAACCAGCGGTTAGACTGAACCAGCGGTTAGACTGAACCAGCAGTTAGACCAGACCGGCGGTTAGGCTGAACCAGCAGTTAGACCAGACCGGCGGTTAGACCGAACCAGTGGTTAGACCAGACCGGCGGTTAGACCGAACCAGCGGTTAGACCAGACCGGCGGTTAGACTGAACCAGCTGTTAGACTGAACCAGCGGTTAGACCAGACCAGCAGTTAGACCGAACCAGTGGTTAGACCAGACCGGCGGTTAGACCGAACCAGTGGTTAGACCAGACCGGCGGTTAGACCGAACCAGCGGTTAGACCAGACCGGCGGTTAGACTGAACCAGCGGTTAGACCAGACCAGCAGTTAGACCGAACCAGTGGTTAGACCAGACCGGCGGTTAGACCGAACCAGCGGTTAGACTGAACCAGCTGTTAGACTGAACCAGCGGTTAGACTGAACCAGCAGTTAGACCAGACCGGCGGTTAGGCTGAACCAGCAGTTAGACCAGACCAGCAGTTAGACTGAACCAGCAATTAGACCAGACCGGCGGTTAGCTGTTCTTTAGAACCGTGTAGAACACAGAAGGACACAGGAATTTTCAGACACAGCACCTCCAACAGGACTTTCTTCTGATGGGTTCTGGTTCTGGTTTCATCCCAGCAGTTCGGGAGCTGGTGGTGTCGGCAGGGGAGAGTGTGGAGGTGACGCTGCCCCATAATGAGGTGGAGCTCATCGCCTACGTGGTCCCTCCACCCCCTACAGGTAAAACACACTGACAGGCTGTGGACACTGGTTCAGGTGTCTGCTGGTCCTGGTTCTGGTCCTGGTCAGTGTTTGGGTCTGTTCTGCAGGGTCCAACTACGCCTTCGACTGGCAGCTTCTGACTCATCCCAGAGATTACGGTGGTGAAATGGAGGGCAAGAAGAGCAAGACTCTGAAACTCAGCAAGGTGTGACGTTCAGGTTCCACTTCCTGTTTATCCATGGGAGGAGCGGCAGGTCGGCTCACTTCCTGTGTTTGTGTGTTCCACGGATCAGCTGACAGTGGGCCTGTACGAGTTCGGGGTGATGGTGGATGGGGAGGGGGCGCACGGGGAGGGCTACGTCAACGTCACGGTCAGACCAGGTGAGACTGTGTGTGTGTGTGTGTGTGTGTGTGTGTGTGTGTGTGTGTGTGTGTGTGTGTGTGTGTGTGTGTGTGTGTGTGTGTGTGTGTGTGTGTGTGTGTGTGTGAGAGACGTGGTGATGGTTGTGGGAGCGATGACATCACTGATGTTGGAAAATTGATGGTTCCATCAATCGTCGTGATCCTGTTTGACAGATCAGGAGCGTCATCTAACACACACACACACACACACACACACACACACACACACACACACACACACACACAGTCTGCTGAACTGTTCTATTTAAATCAGACGGAAATGTTCTCCAGCTTCTGCAGCAGATGTTCTTGCAGGTTCTCTCTGACGGGTGGAATGTGACACAAGTCGTAACCGCTTCATTCATCTTCCTCCAAAAGCTGAAGACAGAACCGGCGTAGCGTCACACGTCATAGCGTCACACGTCACAGCGTCACACGTCACAGCGTCACACGTCACAGCGTCACACGTCACAGCGTCACACGTCATAGCGTCACACGTCACACGTCACAGCGTCACAGCGTCACACGTCACAGCGTCACACGTCACAGCGTCACACGTCACAGCGTCGCACGTCACAGCGTCGCACGTCACAGCGTCGCACGTCACAGCGTCACAGCGTCGCACGTCACAGCGTCACACGTCACAGCGTCACACGTCACAGCGTCACACGTCACAGCGTCGCACGTCACAGCGTCGCACGTCACAGCGTCACACGTCACAGCGTCACACGTCACAGCGTCGCACGTCACAGCGTCACACGTCACAGCGTCACACGTCACAGCGTCACACGTCACAGCGTCACACGTCACAGCGTCACAGCGTCGCACGTCACAGCGTCACACGTCACAGCGTCACACGTCACAGCGTCATAGCGTGACGACTGCAAATTAATTATGACCAATAAGATGTGATGATCCCATATAAATATGAAATATCAGCCTGGTTGGTCTTTGACGTTTAACCAGAAGATTCTAGTTACTTTTACGTGTTCAGGGACCACAAACACACTTCGTATTAACTCAGTCGGTATTTAGTTAAAGGAACTTCATTCTTGTCTAAACTAATGGTTATACATGACTAGATATGAGTAATGAGGTGTGATGTAAGCTAGATGTTTCTCAGAATCTTTGTGTCAGGCGTGCTGGTGAGTGAAACGGAGGTGAGATCCACACGCGGGTGCAGGAGGAGGCAGGAACATTAAAACAGGGATTTTAATCGGGAACACGCAGGAAAATGAAACGATGAGCCAACCAGACAAAATGGACTAACGGGGTTTAAGTACAGGTGGAGCTGGGACCTCGGGCGATTGGGAGACGAGAGGCAGGACAGGGTGACATCTGTGAAATCTGGGTGTAAAATACTTTGTTGGCTGCTATAAACTAGAGAGCTGATTATTAATAAAACAGCATCAGACACGATCTGCTGTGTCTACAGACCCTGGTGGAGACCCCAGCAGATCCGGACTGTCAGAAGTCGGGTGGACTTCACGGCACCAGGACTTCGTAGATTAAGGCCTAGTCCACACGTAGCCGGGTTTCTTTTTAAAAACGAATATCCACGACACGGTTTATATGCAGGTAGCGGCGCTGCGGCTGCTTTATATAGCGACTCGTTGCATTCTCCCTCAACCCAAATCCTCGGATCACGCATTTTAGCTAAAACGCTAACGTTAGCTTGCCTTGCGTTGACTGTAGAGTTGTGGGTGATGGTCATCAGATGTGTCATGAGATTTGAAGCGTTGCTGCCTTTCACAGACACTTTTTCTGCACGTGCTGCAAACAGGATAGCCGTCTTCTATCAGCTGTCCCTCGGCATTCTTCACATATCCAAAAGATGCCGTACTTCCCACTTTGTCTTCTTTGAGGGATAATAAATGTCCTGAGCGCTGCCGTCTCCTCCTCCTGCCATTATTTCAGCTTTAGCTTCAAGAAAGTTTTGGTTGTAAACAACAAAGTGCGCAT